ATACTGCAGCTGTGCGGCCTTAATACGACGTCCCGATTGACGTTGTTCACGAGACATCCTCCCTGGTTTCGGGCGAAAACACACCGAGCCTTCATTCGTCATACCATTTGATAAACAGCATCAGAGCTGGGAGTCATTCTTGTAAAATTCTCAAAATAACAAATATAGTCCGGAGAATTTTGCAAGAATGACTTCCAGCTCTGATACTTTTGTCAAATGTTATGACGAATGAAGGCGCGGTGTGTTTTTGCCCGAAACCAGGGAGGATGTCTCGTGGACAACGTCAATCGCGGCGTCGTGTTAAGGCCACACAGCTGCAGTACAACGTGAATTGGACGTCGTCTTCTGATGAAATCAACCAACGAATCTCTACATTAAATACACATTTATGTGAAATTAAAGTCTTCCAGGCAATGCTATTTTAGGAGATTCATCGAAATCCAGTCATTTTTCGTATCTACTCGACATTGATATGGCTCGATTACCACCAGTAAGAGATCATTTGTATGATCCTATTTCATCAAATCAATTCGGCGATCTAGGGCTCCTCGTTGGAAGTCTTGATGATCGTAGCCTTTCGGAGATTGAGAGATAGCTGGCCTCATGGTGACACCAACATTGACCAGGTGCCTTGTTCATGTGGTCAATTCAGAAGTCCTGTAGACGACTTTAAGACGACTTCGAGACCAATAAGGCTTCAAAGTACTTCATCAAAGTCATAAGTAATCCAGCTCTGTACATAACCTCGTACCAATGCACAAAATGTATCAAAATGGCTTCAGGGAGGGAGGAGAATTGTTGCACAGCTGACTCATCCCAATGGCATTAACTTTACTTAACTCTAGCCTTAAACACTTTCTATGCACACCTTCAGTCTAGGAGATGTGGATACTATGGATCAGGCCAATTTGTACATCAACGATTTGAGCCTGCACGACTCGAGCAGAGATATGATGTTGGTACGCGAGCAGAATTCCGCGGAGCTGCATCTGGCACTAGAACAGGTGAGAGTATGAGTGGCGGAGTCGGTGTTTTGTTGAAAGCATTTCTTGAATTCTGATAATATTGAATATATGAAGACCAAGATGGTATATTTTATGGTATGGTCGCAGTCTCCTTTTGATTTATAAAATTTGGTTGACCTCATTTTCGCAACTTGGCCTTGTTGTCAGGGCGACTCAGTAGAACGCACCTAGTCCAAAGTCGTCTGCCAGAGTAGTTGCCATGACTCCCAGCATCAGAGAATAACAAAACGCACTGATGATGCCGACTATGATTCTGGCGAAACGTTTGAGAAGTACACCAAGTCCACTGAAAGATGCTGGCAATCATGACAACTACTTTGGCAGACGACTTCGGACTAGGTGCGTTCTACTGAGTCGCCCTGACAACAAGGCCAAGTTGCGACAACAAGGTCAATCCACTTCTGATCATATTTTTTGTCTATGGAATAAACGAATATGGTCTGAGAAACAGCCTAGCGGCCAAAACTGGGGATTTCGGGAGGAAAGCCTAAATCAAGAGTAGCTATGACGACCAAGATGTTGTTTTTGGTCTCTATTTTGGTCGTAGCCTCCTTTTGATGTATAGATTTGACATGACCTCGTTTTCGCATTTTGGTACAGTTGGGCTCAACTTGCAAGAAGTCCTGCGCTCTTGTGGTTAGCACACTTCCCGGCGTCGAACCGTGAACTTGGTACATTCTCAGACGTTCCGCCGGCATCGTTAGTGAGTCTTGTCATTCTCAGCACCACTTCCAGCTACAACTCGTCAAAGCGACAAGTCAAGTCAATCGCTTGACCAACTTTCTGACGAAACGGGTTTCGTTGGCGAGTTGTAGCTGGAAGTGGTGCTGAGAATGGCAAGACTCAATTACGATGCCGACGGAACGTCTGAGAATGTACCAAGTTCACGGTCCGATCATAAGAGCGCAGGACTTCTCGCAAGGTGCGCCCAGCTAAGTCGCCCTGACAACAGTACCAAATTGCAAAAACGAGGTCATGTCAAGTTTATACATCAAAAGGAGGCTACGACCAAAATAGAGACAACAACATTTTGGACTTGGTATATTCTCAGACGTTCCGTCGGAATCGTTAGTGAGTCTTGTCATTCTCAGCACCACTTCCAGCTACAACTCGCCAAAGAAACCCGTTTCGACAGAAAGTTGGTCAAGCGATTGACTTGACTTGTCGCTTTGACGAGTTGTAGCTGGAAGTGGTGCTGAGAA